TCTTGGTCAGACACAGCCTCACGAAATCTTTAAACTTTATACATTTTTAAAAGTTTAGAAGAATAAAAAAGTAAAAAGTTTTAGTAAAAGCTTTAAAAGCTTAAACTTTCATGATTAGGACTCTCTCTCATCATTGATGTTTCTATCTCTCCCTCTCCCTTCTTCGCCCTAAAAGCAATGAAACTATCTTATAAAAATAAACACTTTAATGATTATATTGTTAAGGACAACCAAAAAAGCCCACACCACAATGGTCAGTGGTTAAAAAGATTATACTGTTTATTGTGAAATAAACAAATTCTGTTATTCCACCTGAAGGAACTAATTGTGAACTGGGGAAATGCAGGGAATTACCCACAAGAAAGTAACTCCGCCTCCTGGGGGAACTATAACAAATTGTGCTTGAGCAATCATTTCAATATCATATCTATTATTTATATCTACTATTTATATCATATATATTATTATACTTATTGGGCAAATACGATATGAGATGCTTTGCTAGTTCCATTAGGTACAAGGGGTGACAGGGCCATGGGGTTTGGAGTCTTAAACAGGGTTTCGATGGGCGAGGGGGGGGGGGATTTTTTTCCTTCCCCAGGAGATAGCTGCCAACGTCGGTGACAAGTTTTTAGAGAAAGAGAGGAACATCGACTTGTTTTCCACTCATTTGTGCAGTCGCTGGTGGGCTCGTGTGGGCCCTGGCCGGGGATCCAACCCACAACCTTGGGGTAGCAGCCGAGCTACCCGGCAGGGCTGTTGATGCATATTTTCGAGATCTGAGGCATTATGGCAGTGACTCGAGTTCATGGGAGTTGCTGCGGGTGGTTGGATGAAATTTCAGAAAATATATAAAGTAACAGACAAAAGCAAAGCGGTTGTGTGGCAACACAGAGCGTGCTTTTGCCATAATCCCATTAACCTCCTGCTGTGCAACATTTTCCATCTTTATGCCTTTAGGATTACGTGTTAATAGTGAACATTTTGGGGAGCAACTTGGATAAGAGAGGTGGCCTCCAGGCTAGCACGTTGCCTCCAACAACACCTGTGCCTCTTGACTGAGACGTCCTGTGCTCGGCCTTGTTTTTCTAATAAGTTGCTTACCGGTTGGTTCTCAATTATTTGTCAGTTTTTTGTCTCCTGTGCTTAGCTTGGGGTGGGGTGGGGGGCAAAGGCTTGTCTCGCTTGTTCCCTTGTGTCTCCCATCCCCCAAAACCAGCCCTGGGCCTGGCATGCGGTAAAGATGCATCCCTTTTAAGGATGACAAAGTTTATTAAGGCAACCGAATTAAAGGAACATTAAACAGAGACAATATTCAAAGATGACTTTTAAGTACATTTAAAGCCAAAGACCCAATATGATATTTTTTCCATGATTCCCAACATTGTACCATGTTGTGCTCCTCACACTTTCACTGTTTTGATTTCACAGTTCTAAGCTTGGTCAGCTCTTTGCTGTTTTGGTCATTTAACCCGTAGAGTTAAGGTCACGAGTTAACATCTTTCTTAAATGCATTTTCCAGGGTACTTTTCCCCAGCTTTACTGAGTTATAGTCAATTTGTTAACTACTGGTTAACGTTAAGTCTCCAGTTAACATCTTTACTCTTTCACGAGCAATTTTGAAATTTTATTTTATTTTTGGCTCAGGACAGAAGGAATCAAACCCCAAAGACCCAGGACAGGAGATTTGCTGGCAT